TGGAAGTCTATATCCTGTAATCTTTCAGAATCTCTGCATCATCAATCTATATCCTGAATGGTGAAGCTGGTGTGGGTGGGACATTGTAGCTCTTGAGTGATCCTGGATGCTACCACTAACATATGATGAATCTTTCTTTGATTACTTTCTGTACTATCTCATGGAAGTGTCTAATTATAAAGCATAAGTAGGACATGCCTAAAATAGATAAGTCTATTTGGTAGTATTTTGTTTGAAGTATTTTTTTTTTTTAAAAAAAAAGCTTGGCTATTTCATAATTCTTCAGGTTGACACTCAAGCTTTTTCCAAGGTGTTTTCCTCATAATTTAATGTGCCTGAACCAATAAAAAATTTCTCAAGACTCTAAAACATGTGAAACTGAATGTTCATTTATTTTTTAGCCTTAGGATTCTAAGCCTTATTCTGAAATGTTGAAGCAATTTTAGTATTTTGAATAGCTATGTGAAATTAGTCATCAAGCAAAAGCCACAACTCCAGTATAAAGCAAGACCACTATTAGAGCCACATGTTTCTAGAAAGGCACCGTAGACTAAATATGATACTAGATTGGATAGAAAATGCAGACTACATATTAAGCGGTCAAGAGATGAGGCAATTTACTTCAGTCATTTAATGAAGTTGTTTCCATGGGTTACATCATTTTTACATAAGAGTCTAGAGCTGCTTGAACATGATATAATATGAAACAGCTTTTGGGGAGGACATGCCTGTAACATTTGGGGTATATGCCTATAATGTTTGGGGCATAGAAGCATTAAAAAAAACCCCCACTTTTTAAAATGAAGTTCTGCATTCTGTAAGATTTAGAAGGAATGTTCTATAGCAAAACTCCCCCAAACTAGCATGTTTGTCATTGGTGTTTTGAGCCATCATTGCTAAATGGCATGCACTACCTTTATTTACAGGGTAATGGTACCTGCTAGCTTTGCCTGAGAGTCAAAGCACCACATTATTATGAGAACAGGCAATTTAAAATAGAAAAAGTAAATGTTAAACCCGTGATCCTTGTCTTGAGCAAAGCTTACAGTCTGATTAAAATTGCCATTGCCTAATAGAAAAATTTTATTAAAGTTCAAGTTCTGCATTTGGTTGACAGTCTTGGTACTACAGTTATGGATAATGGATTAAAAACAAAAAATCTCAAATCTGGCAGTAGATTTTCTGTGTCGGGGTTCTTTACCCCGGTGTTGTTTTCAGCCTTGCTGCCCAAGATGATGATGATGATGATGCCAGAGTCTTGCTAGCTATGCCTGCAAGTGACATAAACAGGATGAGTATTAGCTGTGATGCAAGTTGATTAAGCTCTGATGCTTTCACTCTTCACTGTTAATAAAGCCATGTGTAGCAGTGGCAGGCTGGATTTACCAGGTTCGTGTCTTTTTCTGTTTGAACACCTTTCCTTTCCTCTCTAACTGTGTGTGTGACAGTGTAATGTGATGCGAACTAGTTCTGCACGCATTAGCTGCTTTTGCGATTAGGGCTTTTGTAGAGGATGTGTTTATGTCCTAAGTCTTGTGAGTTAGTACGTATTTAAAATTCAATTGTCTAGTCATAGAATGATGTTTTAGATTCAAGGCTTGGTAATCAGAGACCATTGGAAAACTGTGTCTGTTTTAGCAACAAAGCTTACAGACTGCTTATGCATGAAAAAACCCTCCACTTAGTGAGAATTCAGCATTATTTCTTTTGCTTGGTAATCTTTTTGTAAATATATAAAAAAAGGGGGAACTACCAGTGCAATAGTTGCTGCAGAGACAACCACATGTTTTTTGCACTAATGACTAATCACACACACACAAAAAAAGGAAAGCTTGGTCAAATTCTTTAACCACATTTTCAGCCTGCTTGGTATAATCATATTTCCTAGTGTTTTCTTCCTCACATGAGGTGAAACTAATATTTCTAGCGCCTCCTAAGTAGTACTGGTTTTAGCATTTGTGAAAAGAGCATATTCTGTGGAGTCTTGTTTTTTAATTAAAGATTTTGTACTTAAGTAGTATGCATGAAACAATGTAAAACCTGAGACATCAGAAAACTGGATTCTGTAGTTTGTCATGTTAGTTTGGCTTACAGTAAAAGACTACCTTGTAAGATAGTGTCCCTTTGGATGCAGAGATGTTTGCATGGGCTTCTGTGCTCTAACAGCATTTGGGAGGGCATATCACATCACTGCAGCTGTGTTTTGGCCTTTTCAGCTTTGCAAAAGACACATTTCTAACTGAACACTGTGTCTAAGTTAAAGGAAAGAGGTGTGACCTGGCATATACTTGAACTTTTATCTACAATATGAAGCCACATCCTGATTTACTTCTATTCTTTGGACTTTTAAGGTGTTGATTTTTCAGTTAAACATCATGGCTTTAGCTTTTTTGTGAAGTCTGGACAAAAGCATAATTTGTGCAGCGTTTTTGCCAAAATCTTGCACAGGAGGTTTCTCTCTTAAAACTTCAGTGTGGAGCCATTGCAAAAACATGAATAGGTGAAATGTTGCCAGCAGGGAGGCTATCAAGCTGTACTACCTATACTAGGTGTGGAGTGTCTTTCCCCATTCACCTTTTTGTATACTAGTGGATTTTGAGCTAGTGGTTCCAATACTGGAACCACTTAAAACTACACTCCATTGCCTGGCGAGAAGAGACAGTCTTTTCTTTGATGCGTGTACACACCCTGCTGATTGCATAGACTTAATCTTGGGAGATCAGTTTCTTGGGCAACATAGTTTTAAGAATGAAGCAATCTGAATTTTAAATGCATCTTCAGCTGAAGAGCTCTCTAACAGGATTTTAACTTCCTCTTTTCAATCCTGTTCCAGTTTCACTGACCAAATCCTTTTGTTTTTTTGGAATGGATTAACATGCCCAACCTGCTAGTCTTAAATTTCAGTAGGCTGCCTCTCCAAATCTACTTGCCAATTAATTTCCATTCCGTTAATGTTCATCAGTTTTATCAAATAATGTAAGTTGTGCAAATCAGACACGATTTGGTTAGATTTCTTTTGCAGATTTTTTTCACTCCAGTACACTCATAGTAGTATGTTCCAAGAAAAAAGGAAGGTCCTACATTCTCCATTCCTTTAGTCCTTTTCCTGGGAAAAAATAAGCAGCCTGTACGTGTGTGTGTTTTGAAGCCTTTGGATATGTATGTTAGAGGGGCCTTGTTAAATTCATGGGGATGGAGTCAGTGTTCAAAAATCTTGCATTCAGTCTGCATCCTGAACTTGTGTATTGGTTTTTCAAGGGTTTTATTAAGAAGCAAACCTGCATTTTAAATAGTGAGTTAAACTGAAATCAATTCACCAATGGAGTATTTTGGCAGCTCCAACACCCTTTGATGTAATGCTTGTGACATGGACATTATTTAGTGAGATGGGTCCATTGATAAAAGAACCTTTTTCCCCTAAACTTCTGTAATCCACTGACTGTAGAATGTGACGCTCCAATTAAGATTCCTTTAGACAGATTGACAGTTATTGCATTGCGAAATGTTTAATTGTCTTGGTGACAGGTCCAGTTTAGGCAACTCCTGCCTGTCCCTAATTGCTTCTTCCTATTTCTGAACTGATTCCTTAGTAGCAGTGCAACTGTGTGAGGCTGCATGATGGACTGCATGAGGCAGTGAATTTGGGTGGAATAACCAGTGTCTGCAAGATGACTTAATTTTAGGTGATTGTTTTTCCAGGGGTTCATTAGTCATGCACTCTCTAACTCCCACTGCTGGCTAAGGATTAGCCAAGGAGTGAGTTGAGCAGTCCATCAGCCAGGACTGCTTCCATGTACAAATGGAACCATCTGTTTGAAATGGAAGGGAATGGTTAGGTCATGCTCTTCATGATGGGCAAATACGCAGCTGGTCTGTGCAGTGCATTCTACATCACTTGATGAGATTTTAAGCAAAGCTTCTGTGTTTCCTTTTACAGACAGCTCAACCTCTTACAAATGTTTTCTGGATGCTTTTTATCCCATCACTCTATGTACTCCAGCTGTGATGACAGTGCTGAACACTGAAATTCAGCTTACAATTTCTGAAATATATAATCACTTTTGGTTTAGAGTGTTAGGTGACTTCATAAACTATTGAAATTAGATTGTTATTTAAGTTTTAGTATTGGGCTATAGATATTTGTCATCCTCTTGAAAATTTTGGGATGCTCTACTGACCCAGACATGATGCACTTACTCTTGAACAAAAAAAAATCACCGTACTTAGTAACAGTATACATTTTTAGTGGTAGCTTCAGGTTATGGGCTTACTGGCCTCTTGGTTTTATCTAAAAAAAAAAAAAAAAAAAAAAAAAAAAAGGAAAGTAATAATAATAAAAAAGGGTATTAAGTGTCACCTTAGTTTGCTGATTAAACAAGACTATTTGGCCAGGAGGGAACCTCTAATTGCTTCCAAATGTTTAATCCTTGAGCTTGGATGACACTCTACACTTCACATATTCTTGAAGTGAACGAAGTTGTCTGTTTCTGACAAAATAACTTGGTTATAGCTGGACTGGTCCATACTAATTTTGTTTCATGATCTCCCCATTATTATCTTAGTTCATAAGAAAAATATGCCTTAAGCCAAACACAAAAGCAAAAACCATTCAGCTGCATATTTTTATGGTTGGTTGTGAGAGTTTGCCATTGGAGTAAGTTTTGGTTTTGAGCTATACTTACCAGCTGCTTTGTCATATAACTTTTATGACACTTAAGAGATTTCATCTCAAATCCCATGAGTAAACTATTAATCTTTTGTGATTGTCCACCAGTTGACACTGTGGAAAATCGGGGGGAGAAGTAGTCTTGATGTTAGTAAGAAACCATAGCAATTTTGTCAATCCTTTTATTTAGTGTACCATGTTTTCATGACAACTTTCTCAGCTTCTCGTGAAACAACTAAAGAAAAACTTCAAGAGCATTAAGGAATGTTGTGTTGCTCTTTGTTCTGCATCTTTTAAAAATGTAACAGTAGCTAACTTCCTTTTTTCTTTCCAGTATTGTTCCACTTTTAAAAGAATCCATTGGAATTTTGATGCAGCGAACTCCTCCTTCCCTGGAAAACGCCCTGCCTCAGTGCTACCAGAGGGTGAGCTCTTAGACTTTGCTTCAGATCAAGCTGCTGACTGAATGAGCCTCAACTGTGTCTATGAGGATATTTTGTGATGATTTTCCAGTAATGCATGTGAAAGGTTCCTTGGATTGTACAAATGGAGGTGCCAGGTTGATTCTTACTTTTCTGAAGTCCTAAATTGTATGTAGGTTCAACTCTGTGTTTTCAAACGTGCTATGCTGGTTTAGAGAAATAGATCCTGAAGCTTTTCCTCTTGTGAAGTACTTTGTACTGATAAAAAGTGGATAATGTTTTTCTGTTCTCAGAGGTGGAGTAACATTGGAAGGGTATTTATAAGAATATGTAGATTACTCTGGATTTGACCTCACCTGTTACTCCTGTTTAACTTATCTATTACTGTGTCATGACCTGAACATTTAAACACCTTTGCAAAGTTAATACAAAGAGCTGGTATGAGTGCCATCTTTCCTCAGGAAGTTACAGGATTGTACCTTTTACATAGAAGGTTAGCTAAAACTTGACAGAGGAAAAAGAAGGGTTTCAACAGGACAAGCCTAAGCCCTCACAAAAGAGATACTGGTATATTTCTGTTAATAGAATCTCTCAAGTTGTTTTACTGGAAAATTCCTACATTTATTCCTGTTTTAATTGAATGTCCTTTGAAATCGAGTAACTGACTTTTCTCTCTGGGACACCACTGTTTTCAGAAATGGTTTCAGTTAAAATATATGCAGAATGTAAATGTAGCAAGATAGAAAATGACACATACATACAATCTGCATGTCTTCACCTTCCTTACAATTGCTGAGATAGTAATAAGGAATTTAAATGAAATACCACAAATTGCACAGTGAACTAGAAGTAAAAGAATGCATTTGCTTTCATTATATTTTCTGTAAAAAAAAAAAACAAAACCAGAGTACAGACAAATGTTTTCTGAAATATTTTTTAAAAAATTTGCCTGTATTTTTAGGTGCAGCAGTTGCAAGGAGTTTACAGTTTACATGATCCACATTTCTGGACCCTCTGTACTGATGTTTACATAGGGACTTTGAAATTATTAGTAGCTCCTGATGCTGATGGAAGGTGGATTCTAAGCCAGACTCACAATATTTTTACTCAGGTATGTCTCATTGGTGGAAGTTGGTGTAAACTGCCTGTCATGTGATGCGACATTGTAATTTTTACCAAGAAAAATCCTTCTGTTTTTGGTATCAGTGTGTTTTGAAAAGTTTCTCTGCTCCAGCTCTATAGAACAATTTCAAAATACTCAGTAGTATAGACAGAATTACTGCTCCTCTCTGCATTGTTTTGATGCCACTTAATGGAAATAACAGCCATAATGCCCTTTCTCTGCTTTTGAGTAATGGAGAGTTCTGTAGCTAAAAGAGACAAGTATTCCTGCTTATAACAAGTCTTTTTAGGTAATAAAGTATTGTCAGCTAAAGGGTAATATTTGAGGTATGTAAACTACTGACTTCTCTAAGTCAGTTGGACAGTGAAAGAAGGGGGTTTCTGATTGAGTATATTTGACACTAAATAAAAAAAAATGTCAACAGTTTAATTAGTGATTGCATAAATGTTCTTTTCAAAGTTTTTTACAGTGGGGAAAGTCCTTGTGTGCTCACATGCATGTTCTTTCCGTTGTTCTAAATGTTGTATTGGTCTGTTGCACTAGCAGCTTGAGTATGTGATGGCTTAGTGAATCATTTAGGCATCTGATAAGTGTCCCTTTTAGTACCTGTTTTATAACATTTATTTAAAATTCCAGACTTGATTTTGTTGTTGTTGTTGTTGTTGTTGTTGTTTTTTTATGCATCTTGCATCAGTGTCTGGACTCTCAGAAGAAACACCACTGAAGACAACCCTACAATCTGCTGCCTGAGTGCAAGAATTCTTTTGAACTCCTTAAAGTTTAAGGAATTTTATAGTCAGTAATGGGGAACCCAATAAAAATAAACACATATACTTGTTTTTATATTAGAGACTTAGGGAGGGAGGATTTCTTGTTACAGATATTCTAAAATCAAACTTTATTCATAAAGTTTGGTCCTTTTTGAGATGTTCCATCACATACAGCTCTAGCGATCAGTCTGCATGGCTTATTCTGCAGACTATGTAGTTTTAAACTAAGGGATATTTTTTTTGAGCAACAACTATGCAGAATATTCTATTACATTAAAACCAATTTTACATCTCAAGTGTCTAAAGGATTGCATTTTTCAAGTGAGTTGTTAGATCTTCGGCTATTTTATAGCTGCACCAGGTATCGAGCCAGGTCTAGGGAGGGAAGTTGAGAAAACAAGATCTGTCATTTTTCTTATCTGACCTTTGGTGTAAGTGGAAGAACAGTTGGAGCAAGTAGAGATTTTTCTTCACATTAATATTGGCCCTCATTAATCTTAATAGCTGGTTTTGCCATTCAACTGAACTAGAAGCAAGCTGATGATAGTTGAAGACAAGCTGATTTTTAGCAGTGTTCAGCCTAATGCTTTAAGTTCGTGTTGCATAACCAGTGACCATCACAACATTGTCACTGGCCTACCACTGAGATTAAAATGAATGTTATTTTTTTGTGCTGTTTTATACTGAATGATGATAAAACCAAGCAAGTCCATCTAAGCCTAGTTTAATAGGATTTGAGAAGATAAATGCTTTAGTACAATTCACATATCTTTACCTGAAGCATTGTTTCTTGCTAAAATCTTAGTGTAGAACTGGTTCAAACAATAAATCCCACCTTTTGCTCTTGTGCTTAGCTGCATTTTAAACTGACAGCTCCTCAAGCAACTTGGTTTTTGGGAAGTTAAACGTACAAAAGTAAGAACTGCTTTTGTGAAGCTTCACATGTGAATTATTTAGGATGAATCAGACAAGGTAATGTAGCAAAGCTAATGTTAATAGATAATTACATGTGTGCACTTGACTCTGTGAAGAACTATGTATTCATACAGCGCTCTCGAAGTTTGTAGGTTTCCAAATTGCCAGTATCTCAGTGAATGATGTGCTAGATGTGGAAGATGAGTTACAGAAAAATAAGTTACTGAGGTTTTTTTGCCAGGTAATTTACTGATCTGGACTGCTGTTAAGGGTGGTTAAAATTGCTTTAGCTTTACAGGGTTTTCTTAACTCTCCTTCTCTTTTCCATAGGCAGGAGTAAGACAGCTTTACATACAGATTGATGTCGCAGCCATGTAGTGAATTTCCAGAATTGTGCTGTTGGACCAAAGTTTTCTGTACTGTAATGGTATAACAACATAGTTTTCAAGACAGAGCCTGCCTCCACCACTCTTCTGGAATGGACTAAAGAGATTTCTGCCCTCAGGCTATGGATGGAGTTAATTTCTAAGGAGTAAATATTGAATGAATGTTATGGACTCTGGGTCTTGTCTTTGTGTGGCCCCTAAACTTGTACGTTTTTGAGAGTTTTTTACTAAGATTGTGGTACTGGAAACCCTGTCATGTCTTCAGTAAAGCTGCTGAAACCACTGCTCATTCCCATAAAACCAGTGTTACCAACAATTGGAAACTTGTTTTGTAGATAATGTCACAATGGCTGACATGCTTCAATATAATTGTATGTTTGTACAATTGTTTGTACTTTGCAAACTTAATGAACCAAACCATATTGGGTTTTCAAAGTGCCTTTTATATCAGGAGAGGTATTTGCCAGCATAAATATGGAGCATCAAAAGGTTTTATTACTTTTACAAATATCTTGTATGCAGTCTGATTATTTACTAGTGATATATGGGGGGGTGGGGGTGTGTGTGGTGTACTTGCGTAACTGTAGATGTTAGACTTCCTTTATACTTGCATCTTACCAAACAGACAGAAAAATTCTAAATGTAAAAGGCAAAGCTGTTGTGAAGAGACTTGCTTTCAAAACAACCTGGATATTTTGCTGCATATATATTGTGGAAATTATTTTAGTCAAAATACTAGATTTAATTGCGATTCTTAGTCTCTTCATACTATTGAAAGTAATGAGACATTGCATGATTCTACTCATGTCCATAGTCATGGAAACAACAGGCAGCAGAGGGAAGATGCTGGTGATGGACACAATGCTTGAAGTTTTTTTATCTTCCAAATCATGTGGTGGGAAAAATTAAATCCCTAAATTGTTTGTGCAAGCTTAAATCTCCTTGATTTTAACAGGTTGTAATAATTTTTATTAAAAGTGATTGGTGAATTAACTTCTGCCTTTCCAAATACTGAAAATAGTTGTTCCTGGTGGTTATACCTGAAATGGAAATAAGGACCATGGTTCATGCTGTTTTAAGATTATGCTTTTTCCGAGTTGACAAGTCTGGTATTTTTGACTATCTTACTGTAGCTTTGTGTGTTTTCATGGGGAAGAACTAAAAATCCTCAGTGCAGGAAGTTGTTTTTCCCAGAAACATTAGTGTGTCATATTTTTCTAGCATTTATAATCATTTCACACTTTCAGATGTGAATGTTGTTTTCAAGGACAATCTGATATTAATTTTGGTATACAGTTGATAATTCCACTATGCTGTAGTAGTTAATTTAGTAATAGAAGATTTTCTAAGAGGAGCTTTTACAAACAGAACATTGTGTAGCAAAAAGCAAGACAGGCATTTTTCTGAAAAACTATAGCCGCTACTGACTGGTATGGATTTTAAGTATTCTGGTGCATGATATGTGGTAATACTGAAATCAAGGCCCTCTGAAGCTGACAATGTCTGGGTAGTAACTGCTAGGCTATGAAAGTACTGATGATTCATTTACAGAAATTGTTTGTTTGCCACTGATGTTGCTGAATTCATGATTGAGATTAAGAGTTTATTGCATTCATTCTGTTGTTCCTATATAGCACCTAAATTTTGATCTCTCTTCATCTGAAAACACAATGGTTGACAAATTGATAGGTGGTTTCTGAATTTTCCAGATAAGATAGAAACATGAGTAGGAATCTTGTACAAAGTTTGGGGGTGTACTTTTGTGGCTGGAACTGAAAACTGGGTGTAAAGAAAAACAGCAATAAAAAGCCACATACATGCTGCTTTTAAGCTTTAGAGTCTCTACCAGTCTTCAGATCCTTCACTATTCCCGTTGCTGGCTGCTCCCGTGGATGCAGGTGCAGAGTCCCCTTTCAGCTGACTGCGCTGTTTTGCAGATGCTCTGCCAGGCCTCCTGATGGTAGGATGAGATCTGAAAGTTACTCACTGCAGGGTAGAGTGCAAGAATCTGTTGAGCAGATTTGAGTACTGCAGTTTGAGATACCATTTGCTTATGTTGATAGAAAAGGTAATTAAAATATGGTTGTGATTCTAGGGCAGAGATCTTATATTGTTTTGTAGTATGTTGCATATAGACTGTTTCTTGTTGGTTGACAGCATGGTTTCTTGGGTTTTTTTATAGTTAATACTACTATTTGAGGCTAGAGAAGATCAACTGATACCACTTTAAAGGCAAGCACCAGTCAACGTCATTGCAATTATCTGATCCAAGAGCAGGCTTTGGTTTAAATCATTTTTATACCAGCGTGTTTCAGGACTGAGTATTCCTGGAGTTGCTGAAATACTGTAGTGCTGCTAAAGTTGCTGAGCTTGGCCACTATTTTTAGTTTTCTTAATGAAAAGACAACTGCTACATTTGATTCCAAGTGAGAACCTGCCCAAGTGGCAATTGGGTTTGTTTTGTTGTTTGTTTTTTTTTTACAATGTACCTCTACAAAGTTTTAAATATGGGAAGTTGATTGAAAAAGCCTGTAAGATGGTTATAATTACACAATGTTGCTTTTAATAACTTCTGACATCTTTTTGTTGCTTACTGTGACTTACCTGACTGGAATCGTATGTACAAGTCCGAGTTTTCTAACCAAGACAGCACTTTCTTCATTACTTTTAAGGACAACTTAATGGTTTTATAGTAAGAAATATATAATTTGTTTGTTAAATATAATTGAGGATAGTGTAGGGAAGTTGAATTCAAAGTAGACTTTAAGCCTTTTCAGGCTTTCTGAAAAAGGGTAAGCATCACAAAATTCTACAAAAGGCGATAACATCCCCAGTAAGTAACTACAGTCACATTTAGTATGTCAGCAAACAGCGTGGCATCTGATTTCTTTTTTTCACCGAGGGGATACTTGCTCAGGTTTTAGAAAAGTACAAATCGTTCAATTGAAGTGCAGCTTTTCTTATCCTGAGAGTCAAAGCACCATTATCTTGTGTTTTGCTAATTACCTAACACTTCGCTGCTTATGTAATGCTTTGATTTTAACACTTTATTGGAGATGCATTGCATCATGTAAATGAAGATTTATGTGAATGACATCCAGATATGGGTGACCTATCTGCAGATCATCTAAAACTCCAGCTTCCTGGTATCCAGTACTGAGTTTTGAACCAAGTTTTCCAAGCAAGATTTTCTCATGTTTTCATGTAGCTAAAGCTCACCGTTGGGTTACTGGTCTTTGTGGGGTTTTTTTCTGTGATGGAAAACAGTAACTTTCAACCATTGCAAACTGCATGATTTTTACAGGACATACAGCAAAATAAGAAGATAAATCTGTATTAAAATGTCTCAAATGCTTGTCATGGTAAATAACAGTGGAAGAAAACTCCTCTTAGTCTTAAGAGTATGCACAGTGAAGAGTGGGCCTTCCTAGGCTAATTCTTTAAGTCTCTACACATGGATAGACTTGTTCTTTACATCAGTAGGGCCCCTACAGAGAGCTAAATTGTGCAGTTTGCTAAACTAAGGCCAAAAGTGCTGGTCCAGATAAATGACTCTGCTTTTTATGTAATACTGCTTACTAAAACGAGTTTAATTGCATCATTAGTATGAGCTGCTGACACTATTTTTACATAAAAATTGAAAATGCCGCTACTAATAAAACAGACCTTAGTGATTCTTAACATTCTATTATTTTTTTTTTCTAAAGTAATAAAGCTGTGTTTAAAGGTGAAGGAAAGAAACGGTATATCTTTGTAACTGTTGTAAGTGAACCTGCTTTAGCAATGTAAACAAGATCTAAGAGGGAAGAGAAGCTGCTGCTGAACTGCAGTTTTCCACTCTGCATTCACTGTGCAATCAAATTGTGAAGATCCTGGCTTTTCTCTCACAGTGCAGATTTCATTGCAGAAACCTTCATGCTTCTATAAAATGCAAATTCTAATTAATACTCCAGTAACAAGGTCTTTAGATCAGTTCAGAGCAACAGCTTTAGTTACTAATTAAGCCCTGTCCTGTTTTCCCCAGCAGCCATCAGACTGCCACTTGGTATGATTCTTGATTATCCCACCCCTTTAAGCGTGTTTGGGAATGAGCGTAGAGGGATTTTCTTCCCTTTTTTTTTTCTTTATAATCCATTTCTCTGATTCCCTAATACCAAGTCAGTGGTTAATTCCTCCTTTACGCTTCTATGAAAATCCCCGTCTGTAACTTGCTGGGATTTCCTTTTGGATTTCTTCCCTATTCAGGCTTTGTTGGTGACCATCCCTGTTGGGACTTCATTGGCCAGAGACCGCTATAATGTGAAAAGACGCCAGTTATGCTTCTGCTGTGCCTGGCGTGTGAAGACTACATGTCTCTCTGTGTGCAAATACTGGTTAATCTACTTGTCTGTTTCAGTGAGCCACAAAAGGTTCCTGCCTATGTGGTAATTTGGCGGAAATAATGTGTAAAAGGAGTTGTGTATTTCACTTCCCATGTGCATTGAAGTCTTTCATGTGTATGCTGGGATCTTGTACAAGAGTTAAATGAATCAGTACAGTATTTTGGCTGAAGTGTGAAATATTGTGAATGAAGAAATTGCCAAAACCATTCCTGGTAGCATACAGTGTTGCTTGCATTCAGCATATAGCTTGCCTTTAGCTTTAAAGTACAGGAATTGCTCTTAGCAGTGAGCACAAGTTGAATAGTACAGTACACCAAAATAGCTGTAAAGAAATCTTAATGATGACAAAAGGCAGCTCACTAAAATTCTGAAGACTATGTATGATTTTGTTCTGGAATGCTAATGTTAGTAGCTTAGCCATGACTTGTCCCAAGTGCAATATTAGAAATTTTTAATGTAATCTTTTCTACTTGAATACAGTCAATATAAAATGTTAAATATCCTATATTGCTGAAAAAAATATGGGATCAAATTTATTTCCAATAAATTTTCAGTTTTAAAAAAATATGCATATAGTTCTGCTTTGTTCTCATACATACTGTGGAGACTAGTTGAAATAGCAACCACCGTCACCCATTACATGATTTTTAAAGAGAATTTTTGCAGGCTGTTTTCTGAGAATTGGCTTGAGGTTAATTGTGGTTGCTGCAGTTTGAGCCCAGCACTTCATAAATGCTGGCATTAACAGGGCCAGTTCTTGTTTTTCTTGGTTTAGACATAAAGAACATTCTCACCTGTCTGTATTGGCTCTCCCAAGTGTAAAGATGGATCCAGACCTAACAGGTTTTTCACACTAGTGGCTTCTATTGGTGAAAGAACTACCAAGTTTCTGGAAAGTTGAAAAGCAAAACTTAACATCTCAAATACACTTAGAGCAACGTGTGCAGTAGGCTTGGTTAATGTGATGCTGGACAGGTTATCTGGTACACTTCCTCAGGTCTCTACGTGCACTTCTTACCCTAGTCATCAACTGGAGACTGATCTAGGTGTCAAGGAACTGAATCAGACACAAGGTTTTTAAGGTTTAAAGGCTTCTGGAGGTGTCTACATGTTAGAAACTGACACCAGCAGGTGCAGCTTGGCAGTTTGTAGCCTCAGGTAAAAGCAGGTCTGTGTTCCTCCAGTGTTCTCTTTTGAAGCAGTATACAATCTAACTGCACTTAGGCAAGCTCTAAATATTCACAGGAATAACTTTTTGCTGTTGTGAAATTAAAGATGGAATAAAAATTTAAATGCCTCTTTTATTTAAGTGGTCCTTTGAAATGCATTATTTTCAAAACTGGAACTATCTACAGAAAAAAGCTTAAGCATTTCTAATTCCAGAGGATGCATAGTGCCAGTAACAATCAAAGAATGTAGTGGACCCCCTAATTCCACTGTGGACATCTGATAGAGTGTGCCTGAAGCAATCTTCTGATCTGGAGCACCCACACGTGCGAGGCCAACACAAATTGTGTTTTCAGTAATTTCTGTAAGAAAGAAGATTAAATGCTTAATTTGTTGACTAATAGTCCTATCATAGAGAAAAAAAGTACGCAAAATGCTTAAACCTTAACACTGCTTTCTTAAACCTCCAATTAGTAGATCATTGGAGCAGCCTAGAAAGAAGCTTGTTCTTTAATAAAGCTGTATCTTAGGGATGTTTATAAGCAAAAATGGGAAGGCAGCAGAAGTAGAGTATGAAATTCATTCAGGAATTGTGTTCACTTAGAGGAAACTGCTGCTTCTGATTCATTCTATATAAAGGATAAAAGGCTTTTTAATTTTAATAGTATTTAAGGCATTAACTTTTAAAAGGAGGAATATAGCTACATGAATTTCTATTAGAATCTTTCTGTGACACAAGTGCCTCATCTTTATAGCTGCTATGATTTCACCCTTGGTCTCATAAACATCTTTCACAGTTTGCTTTTGACCAGTGTTAAGAATTCAGGGTCAAAATCACAGTTCTGCGTTGCTTGGTTACCCTAAATTTATGCTGGTATTCACATAGAGCAGAGTGTGACCAGTCTAAATTAAAAGTAGCAGAGATGCTTGAAGCTTGACTGATTGAAAATGCTCAGAATCCTTCCACCTCCTGCACCTCTAATGGATCAAAGAGCTCACAGTTAAAAGATGGATAGAAACAGTGCAGGGTTACCAAACTGAGGCTTTGATTAAACCTCCAGGAGCCACTAGTGCTCGTTCATCTGTACTCACTGAACTACACTATGTTCAAGCTCTGCTAAATCCATCTCATGACTAGGATTTAAGGCAGCCCAATTCCACTGCAGAGCAAGAGAGCACCAAGATTAAGAGGAAGGGAGTAGAGTTCAGAGGCTCATCAATGTGACTTAAGTGTAGCATATAGAAACATTGCAGTAATAGTACCTGGTTCTTCTCCTTGGAGCCTCCTGTTTTGAATAATGGCAAGAAGCTGTTCTGCAGCCTGAGTCACACTCATGTAGCGTGGTGGCTCATAAATCTTTCTTCCTCTGCAGGGAAAGAAAAGTAGACAAATTTCACATATAACCCACTTCATTATCCCTAGTATTCTTACTGTTTATTTCAAGAAACCTCTAGACCAGCAAACTGAATTTAAACAGGCCCAGGGTCTCAGGCTGGGCCTTTCAGACAAGAGTGGAATTTTTAAGGAAGACAAGTTTCTTGTGCTCTCCCCCCACCTGTGAAACAGCAGGGCCTCCAGCTGGCAGATCATTTGAATCCTAAAAGCAAATTCAGCTGCTGCAAGCAATATGCAGGTTTTGCAGCTACTCCTGAAAGATTCGACTTAAAATTCAAGGGCGAACTACTGTTTTTCTCTCAAATGCCCTGTAGACAGATGATTACAGACTAGAAATATATTCTTAAATGAAGTGCTGCTTTCTTTGCCAACTGTGGATTCAATCAGATTTTATTTTGAAGCTCCAGAAAAAACAAACCTCAATGATACTGTGAGACTTCACAAATGTTAATTTAGATCAGAGTTACAGCATTTGTATAGTGTAACCAGTTATATTCCCCACTGTCAAAACATAACAGATTGCAGAGATATGACAAAAATGTGGCAAGAGCTTTTCTGAATACAGTTAAGTGAAATTAAGAGTGTTTTCTATATATTGCTTATTTAGCTGTTTAAAAAGGGTGGTGTGTGTTCAGTACTTCATACTGTTTCTAGCCAGCGTAAGGAAGAATAAATTCAGAACTCCATTTCAGCTATTAATCTATTTCAGGATGGACAAAACAGTAGTAAAATAACACTTCGTTTGCCAAGCGGAAAGCCTACCCCATTCTGACTTGCTTCTCACAGAAAGAGTTAAAAAAAGAGATTATGTGCTGCTGCAACCTCATTCAGTTACTGTAACTAAAGCCAGGTCCTGTTGTAATGAACAAAAAAAGTTCTGCTCCTTTTAAGAAACAAAAGACCATGGCCACTGAAAAGTATAAGAGAGAGAAGGCAGGTAAGTTCAGTGTTAGACTGTGGGCAAAGAAACTTTGTTCCTTGTACAAAAAAAACCACTTTGTAAATACAGTGTGTGTTTCTATATATTTTCAAAATCGTGACTCACTTCATTAGATTCTCCAGAGACTGCTCCTTCACTTTAATATCTGTAGAACAAAACATATTAAAACACAGGTTCCCAACAAACTTGCCACTTAGTTTTCTAAGTAGGTAAAGCTTGATTTAATTAGCAGATTCTATAAACTTTATAACAACATTTTAGCCATTACAGGAAAAAAGAATATGGATTACATTCTACTGTTTCATATGTTTATTAATCACAAAGTACTGTGATTTTATGCATGTGATTTTAGCCCAAAATAGGGCATGTTTCACAGATTTCAGAGCAACATGGATGAATAAAAATACTGCTAAGTATACAAATAGCAGGCATATTTACCATAGGAAATGCCAGCATGTTTAAGCACACCAGGATATCAGGACTACTCTTAAATTACGAGTACATTCTGGTCACAAAAGGTAGAACTATGACTGATCGGCAGTGATTACATCATTGCCATGCAGGAACCTGACTTTCGTTAGCACTTCCTTCCTGTCCCAATCAAAATTTAGAACAATCTTCTGTTAGGGGAAAAAAAAAGATTTGGTCAAATAGAGAAAGGGTCAGGTAAGATGGCACATCTGCAATATTATGAAACTCTGATTGATCACAATCTCTCCCAAGAGGCAATAGAACGTTACCTGTATTCAAATACCCCCAAAATATTATCATAGTGAAAGCTGGATACATTTTTAATCTTGATTTTTTTTAAAAAGTATTTCTTAAGTTATAGAATGAATTCCTAAGACAAAGTGACTCTGAAGAAAGGGCTTTAAAATGCAAAGCTTCAAGATTCTTAGTGCACAGTTTACCAAATCATTTATACATCCATGAAGTCACTTTGAAATCAGAAGTTTATCAACACTAACCTTACCTGCTAATCTAATCTAATCTATTATAATAATCCTTGTTTAAAACACTTGTGAAGTCATCCTTCTTTAAAACAAATTACTAGAATTCTGATTTTTAGCCAATTTTGAAAACAACTTTTCAAGGCATTGGGAAGTCTGATGTGCAGTGATGCTTACACATTTAAATTGTTTCCTGCTCAGGATCCTCCAGTTACCACAGACTTTGTTTTTACCCAACATATTAATTTATTTAGCACTGAGAGGTCCCAGCTGTGTCTAAAATATGATACAGAAAGGTATAGAACTATATATACAAATATGCAAGTGCCTTACAGTTTATTTAGAGGCAGTTCCATAATCTTTAAGGAGATACCTAGACTAGTAGAGTTACTCAGAAAGGGGCTTTCAGCCAAGGACTGTTGGGTAGGATAAAGATCAGGCAGCACCAGGGGAGAGCCTGGGGACAGTGGCCAGCTAGGAGCAGTATTCCATTTCAGCTCTATGATCAGCAAGGATTTTGTTACAGCATCGAAGCTTCTCATGTGACAATTGCCTTCTGACAAAACATCCTTCGATAAGACAATTTAGGAAAAAGACTATCACCTTACAAAATAGAAATGTGGCTAAATGTACAATTTAGCTCCCCAGAAAGCCAAATATGTTGAGCTCTAACCTAATTAAGTCAATAAAAGATAGCTGCTATTCACTACAATCTGATTTGGATCCTGAGCCAGAGCTAGCCTAAAATCACAGTGATCTTCAGAGCAAATATAGGCTTCCTGCTCCTATTTGACTTCTACAAAGGCATCATTTCTTACAGATTTTTCTGAAGAGGAATTTAATTCCTGGCCGCTGTGGCATGAAAAATGGCTGAATTGACTCTTCAGTACACATACACTAACATTCTAATTTTTGGTATATTTTCAAAGATACCTGTTAGCTAAGAACATTTGTTTTATCACGGACTTCATCTTATTCCTATCACTATTGTCTCTGGATGCTGTGGAAGATGGTAGCTAAGGAACTGACATAGCTGCTGCTTACCAAGTAAGCACAGGGTGTGCATTCCATTCTGCCTGTTCTTCTCGATCTTGTCAAAAAAGCTCTCTGGCTTCCATGTATCTGTCCAGAAAACTACAGAAACAGTTTCTCCAAAATTGTACAACTGTAAAACAAAGCAAATACAGTAACACATATAGAAAAAGAAAAAAAAATAGAGCATGCAATAAAATGCTGTGAAAATCATGAACAACTGGCAACACTGAACAGTCCTGAGCCTAGGTAAGAAAGAAGTTTCATGCCACAGGGAAAGTACTCTCCTATAAGATGCCTGAGTTTGCTCTTTCATAGATACATTACAAAACATTGCATTAAAAATAATGCTTCCCTTTAAAAAAGCTGCCCTGTGCTTCTCTCCCTTGACTAGTTTTAGTGCATTCCTTTGCATTCCCTCCTTTCTTTTTAACAGAATTTGTAATTAGTGGACTGTTTTTTCTTCATAATAGAGAAGTGCTGCTGTTCTTTTACTTTCCAAACAGTAAAGCATGGTAAAGAACAACTAATGAACTACCTGTAAAGTTTTTGCCTATCTCTTCATTAACTTTCCAATGTATATAACTGACTTCCAATCTACCTTCTATTCTTTGTAACTTAATTGTGAACTCCTTTTAAAGGCAAAAACTTTGTGAGATTAGCACCAAAATTATTACTTATTATTTTTTACTTTGGTTAAAGCTAAGCAACTTCTAGTAATTCCATAATACTTACAATGTACTGATTCTACTGATACAGTAGTATTTGTATTAAAACAGCACTTCCCTGCAGATGAAAGCTGTATCATGCAAAAGAAGTTACAGTCTAAAGAGAGGGTGGATACGAAGATCTGAAGACAGGGACAGATTTTGCATGAAGCAGAAAGGTGCAACATTTTTAATGTACATATGGTAAGAATATTGTTAGCAGATTCTATGTCAAACATACTGATTTTATTTTCAATCTTAACAGTATATATTACTGTAAAACCTTAATCTCAGCAAAGACATTTGAAGCAATAGTCTTGCCAATCGTTTCCAGTGATGCAGAAGTTGAAGTTGTATGAAGTTGGCTTGGAATTTTTTGCAACCAACTTCAAAAAGGGCAAAACCATGCATCAATTTTGGTCAATTCAGCTCTGGGATGGGGCCATCCCAGATGAATTTTACCACTTGCCAGTATTCTGTCTGCTCAAGTCCACCAGAGGAACAATGGCCATACAGACCAACCTCCCCCCTTTCTCTGTAAACCTGGAAGGAAAAACTGCTTTTCCAAGCCCACTACAGGAGGCACTGTGTGTGCTGTTTAGTAGAGAAGAGGACCCTACGTAGAAGCAGCTCTGGCAGCTCTGTGCCATCTGGGGATTCCCCTACACATACTTATTTTACTGTGGCATTGGGTTGCGGTTTTAACTCCTTTACACTGGCAGAGCAGAATTTGAATCAAAGCAGAAACGTGTTTGTTTTCAAGGGACCAAAAGCTCAAATTTTAACCATTCTTGCTGATAGGAACAGTGTTTATTCAAAGATTCCTGGAATATTACTGAAAACATTTCCTCTTTTAAATATTTCATTCTAGCACAAGGAAAAGAACACACAGCGTACATTTCACAACCTAAAGGTTCTTGCAGTAAACTAAATAGAGGTTGAACCAAATGAATTGCTCCTGATGTAACTTTTTAACTATTTCAAGGCTGAGTCGCTGTGTTTTAGAAAAATAAGCTATGTTTTGCCTATTATTCATGTGGCTTGCTAGAACTTTTTCCATTTTGTACCAAATCTGAAACTATTAGAACAAAGAGTTTCTCTTTCTTCCCTTCACTGTTAGAGCATCTGGGAGCAAGTTAACCTTTCATGTCATTGGTAGTATACTTTCAGTCATCAATGACCACTGAACTGTCTGGTACCAACCCAACTAACTAGCTTACCATCTGCTACCTGAAAGCTTCTGCAGTCATTTCCCAAAGAGCAGCAGCCCTCCTTCAGGACACAAAGGGGCCTCAATTAACCTCAAATCTTATTCCCGTCTCTTTGGCATTTTGATAACCTGGAGAGAATCTTCCACCTCTGCCTTTTGGCAAAAAAAAACATGTGCAGAAATGGGCAAAATGTTATAATCTGTTAAGTATTTTGTTGGGAATTAGATGTTTTAAACCATTCTGCTACATATTAAAAACAAGTTGGGCATTCAACTTTATACCCTACAGCATTTGTTCTGACTGTTATTTTTCTCTTTTCAATTGATCATTACAAAGATTCTCCATCATCTTTGCCAACAAGAAGTTAAGCAAGTTATGCCTTTTGTGCAAGCACTGCCAGTCAGATTCACTGAATCTGTCCTTTGTTTACCAGGTTTTGCATAAAAACTTAAGTCTGAACGTCAAGAAAGACTAAAACCTTTTTGTCATAAATGTCTTGTCTATTCAATAGAAATAACTTCAGAATGTTTTAATGAAGTATTGCTATCACAGAAAACTGTACTTAAAAGTCTCAAAAAATACACTTGTTTTCTCAGCACCTGGACAGCACAGAAGTAGCTTCTATACCAACAAGATGGAACAGAGCATATTTTATTAACTTCCTAGAAATGCCTTTGCAACTTATACCTCTCTACTAACTAAACTAAGGAATAGATTTCCTAGTATTAATGCATACATGTTTTTACTTTAATTTAAAGAGGGGAAAATACTACTTTGGAAACTTTCTGGTACACCAACAATCTATGAATGCTGTGGAACTGAAGCAATAAATGGATACCCCTATTGTGCTTGACTGTTTGTAACCAATTACCTTACAAGCACTCCAACAGACACAAATATTTCTTTCTCATCCAGCAGTTGATATCTGCAGACATGATATTTATGCAAACACAGGCACTGCTCTTCCACCAGAGCAAGACTGCACATAACTACATCAGAACTTACATTTTTAACTCTCTACCTGTATCTCATGCAGATTTAGTTTGTTCCTATACAGTTTCCTGTGCTGTGTTCTAATTTCTACTTCTTGAAATCTAGCGTGAGTTTTTAGATTTTCAAGAAAAGCCTTGCTGCAGAGAAAGCAGAAAATACCGAAAATTCCACTATTATCCTAAGGATTCAGCAGTTACAGAGGTCAGTAGGTCCACTAGAGTCAGAACCCACTGAAATGAAAATAAATTATTTCCACCAACCATAAAAGACTGAATAGGGCCCCAAAATTCCATAAATCATGCTTGTTGTTGGAATAAAACTGATGTGTTTGTTAATCAAGGTGGATTACAACACAACTACGGATTAATGTCATGCTTTGAGAAGTTTAATAAGACAATGAAGAGCTCTGTATATTTTCAGTGAAACGATCATGCTGTACAGTTGCTGGCACAGCTTTAAAGAGAGGCAACAGCAAATGAAGTTTCACAGCGGTCTTCTGTGTGCTGCACTCTACATTAAGCAGATGGGGTTTAGGAGTGGGCAAGATCTGTTCTGTACAAGCTAAAACATCTCAAGCATCACACTTGCACTAATCATCAGATTTGTTAGAGTGCCTACATTCTGCTCAGGCACAAAAGTGCTAGTACTTCAAAGGGGCTCAGTGAAATGGTTGGACAGACATTTCATGCTCAGCTTGGTAACTAACTTTCTTACCTTCTCCCTAATGCTCAAAAACTTCACAGAAAAATTTCAAAAGGTCATTTTGAAAGACCTCAGTCTTTGGAAATACCCCTCCCCCTGCCCAAGCAGTAATTGGCTTAAGCAAAGCTTTGTGCATTTCAAATTTTGCAATGCAATAGCTGAAGTCAGGAAAGGAAGCCAGAACTCTCTCCTCCCAGGCAATGCTGTCTCTGCTTGAGTTTTCTGCCTCTCACAAAATAATGCAGAAAGCTGTTCTTCAGCTCACACTTTCACCATCTCTGACAAAGCTAGAACTTCCTATTTCATTTTAACACATAATACGAAAAAATGTCTGACAACTTCTGGTACTGAGGTACCCGTTTGCAGTTAGTATTTCTAACCCTTCTGTTAATGACATTTCTTATTTTACTTGTCTATATAAGCAGAATGGATTACAAATTGAGAGGCCAGAATAAACTATGGGCAAAAAAGTGCTGTACCATTACCTCAGCTTGCAAAGCCTTCATGAAAGTGAAATGAAACTACTGATCAACTTCGTTAATGGACAGTCTGAATAACACCAGACACCTGAAGCTGTCCAGATCAACAGTCCTCACTTAAAATACTGGTGTGGCTTATCACCACAAAAATATAGGGCATAAAAAGAAGGAACAAGCTGAGACTAAATAGGGAAATTAAAAAAGGAAGATCCTCCATCCCCTCTAAAAAGTACTAAAGCAAGCAGGAGAGAAGAGCAAGATAATATTAAAGGTCAGTAGGGCAACAGCTGCAGAGAAACCAAGAAGTAAACATTTCAAAATACAGACATTTATTTTTACAGCATCTTTCCCAGAATTATTGCTGTATCAGCTGCAATGGTGACAAAGCAATTCTTCATTTATGAGCCTATCTCCTTTCCTAAAATTTCAAATGGCTTCAGAACTGGATACATGTCAGGAAGAAGCTAAAAAGGAGTCTTACTACATTTTTCAGACCTGGCACCCGTATACACATGCAAATGCCTTTAAACCTTGTAGGACTGAAATGCTTCTCAGCTATGTTTGGTGATGAGATGGTCACAGGTTACACTGCAGATAGTTCTCCCAGGGCAAATGGAGATACTGCACAGCCTGATCACACCCCACTGACAAGACACTAAGAGGCTTTTTCTCCTAAGGTTATTTGGACACCGTAGAGCACCTTGTTTTATCTCAGCTTGCTTCTTGATAAATCCCAATGAACATACACAGAAAAGCTAAGACATGTTTTGTTTATCCTTGTCGTAAGAGTTTTGACATGATGCTATGCAACATTCATCCTCAGAAAAAGGAACCTTTTTCCCCTTATCCTCCGTAACCAGTTAACAACCTTCCAGACTATATACATCAGACTAAAGGGCTCCTACTGTTCTTTATACTATATACTGTTGCCAGGGAACAGCTTAGGAAGTAGGACAATCATCAACAAAGAGGCAGCAAGAGGCAGTCAAGCTTTATTTTTTTCTTGTAATTGGTCATATGAAACAACCACGAGCCTAGCTCTAGCCTTTTACACTATCTTATTTAGTACCACAGACCTTTAGCAACTTTGAATGCCTCTCATGAGAAACTTCACAGGAAATTGAAAGTTTCTACCATTCACACACATGGGGCTATGACTCCTTTTTGTACTGAAAGCTGACAGATCAGCTCAGCTATCCCAAAAACCTCCAGTCCCCTTAGTACATGCCAGAGAGAAAGGAACTGTGAAGAAAAGGATGTTTGGCTGAGGGAAGCCCACTCCACATGATTACAATCTTCAGGAGGCAGATGAGACAAAATCACATAAAAGCAGCTGAAGGACACATTTTTCTCTTGGCTGCCTCCTATATCAGCACTTAGGAAATAGCCATTCCATAAGCAGACCAAAATTCATCTATCAAAAGACTCAGAAACTCCAAACAAACTTGAACAGGGCAGGATTTTCCCTCCAAGTTAATGTCACCTTATCTTTAATAACTTTCTAAGACTCTTCCCAGCAATATCAAACAATGATTCCTTCCCTCCCTGGTCACTTGGGTTATTAATCTGAAATTACAATAACCAAATGGAGAAAAAAAATCTATTCTGATTAAATGGATGTTTCTGGGTCATGTTTGCTGGCACTAAATTGAACAGCAATTGTCAGTAATGAAGTTCTGTGACTAGCACTGATTTAACCTTTAATTGGTTTGAGAAACAAATGCCGACTTCTAAAAGGCTCAGAAGTTGTTAGTAAGTGAGAAAACCAACCAGTGATATAAAGCAGTTTGTTTTAACTGTCAGTGAATAAAAAACATTTTGCATAGAGCCCCTATTAGGGCAAAGAGTATTTTTGAAGATTAGGGTACAGAGGGTGGAACTCAGAGGTTCTGCTCCTGCAGCTACTACAGGTTTTCTATTTGACTGTGAGCACAGTGAGTAATGGTAGCATTCTTCAGCTTCCTTATCTATAAGTAATATTTTTCTGCTTGACACTGAAAATGTACTTACCTGTTCAGTACAGACTCAAAAATAACATAGTAAGCACTGCTTCTGCATTTAAGTGATCAGCTAGTGGTGAAAAGAAAAACTCTATTTTATAACTGTATTTGTCTTATAAGAATTAACTGGACTGCAAACAAAAAAATCGAGATGAGTCACTGAAAGAAACAAGAGGACATGCAGATGTTTGTTCTGAAGCTATTCAGGTGGAAAGTGGGTATGTCTCAAAAGAAAGGCAGGTCTTTGCCGTGACATGTTTTTTCCTAGCTGCCCCACCAAAATATAAAGTAAATGCTTTCAAAACTAGCATCACCACTCTCACAGAAATGAGTGGCTCATTTTAGCCCATTGTCTCATCCCGTGGCTTGTCTCCAGCTTTGCACTTCAGTCCTCAATTCTCTTTTTTTAGAGTAATGCCATTTCAAGCTATTTCAAGTTGTATCATTCCTTCACATGCATCACAGGTCAGTATGATGCAGAGACTTCCTCATGTGTTTGACCATCCATACTGCTACCTCCAAGATACATTATGAGAACTGGCTCAGAGAGAATTCTGTCCTGAGAGAACTACTCTGGTCAGTGACCTTCCCAAACCTAACGCATGCAGGTTAGGAAGGAAGGAAAAAGGTGTAAATTAAGAGAGCTTTATGCCTCTTTATTCTAACACTAAAAGCCTTAGCAATCAGCCCTATTCTGAAAAACTGAGTGTAGATACAGATAAAGCCATGGAAGTCAGGCTGGGCTCTCCCTTTGTTCTCAGCTCACAATGCTGAATCCTTGTTGGACAGAGCCAAGGTGTGTCATGCTTGCAGGGCAGCTGAGCAGTGGTTAGAACAGAGGTAAGCTGGTCACCTAAAATACTAAGCTTTCCAAAGCTACAGAACTACAGTGTAGCTGCTTCTCAGGAAAGCTGAACTCACTAGTTACCACCCGCTAGAAGTGCTCTCTTAGAATTTCAGCCTTTCCCGGGGGACTTCTGTCCCCTCTCCCTGACTCCCCCTGCAGCATGCGTAGATACCAAACTCCATATCTTTCTTCACTGGTGGTTGTTCCCCACTACAACAGGAGTCAGAGTAACCAACATACATGTTGGATTCCAGACAAGAGAGGTGAGCCTGCAGAGAACGTGCTAAGAGGCACTCAGACAGAGGCACTTTTCCTCTCTTCTTCCCTGCTAGCCATATTCATTTGTTATTGAGGGAAAAGATGTTCTTCAGCCTTGAAAAAAAAATCTTATACAGTGAAGCACAGCAAGAATAGTGTAAAAGAGGGAACCACAGCAAGTCAGACTAATACTTTGCTGAGTTACACTATCCCCTGCTTTCAATAGCTATATCTCATTGTATCAATCCGTGAAAACTCAAAGTTCTAAAAGTTTAATTTTCAAAACGAAAAAAACCCCATTCTTTGTACAAATACAATCCTCACCTGCTCAATCTTCAAAACAGCCGCACTGATTCTGTTAAATGGGCAAGACAATTAAAAAAAAAAAAAGAAAATAGATATTCACCCTTCTTTACAATTTGGCAATAAATATATCCATGAATTGAAGTCGACAAAACATCACTAACGCTCTACTGACTTCAGTAACTTACTACTGTACAGGAAAACTGCGCAACTACTAGAAAGTTGTTGGCTGCACAGAAACATTGCTCTGATGACAAAGAGACATGTTCTTTTGTGAACAGGCTGGGCTGTAGCTCTGTTTTACTGAGGGTCTAATCAGCAGTTACAGCTCACTACGCACATGGCTTTCAGAACAGCGTATAAAGGTGTTTCCTGTTTTTCTCTAGTAAGAAAGAAAGAGGTTTTGTATCACAATCAGATTAAAACAAGAAAAAAAGCCAAGTCTTTTCTGTGGTGAAGCAAAAGAGGAATCCCTCCTATACTTGACAGCAACTTTGCAATTTGAAACACAGTAACTCCAAAACTAAACTGATGGCAGGAGACAGCCATGAACATAAAGACTGTTGAAAGAAATTAGAAACTTCCATCACAACTCTAATTAAATCACAGGCTGCTTTTTGTAAGATACCCCTCACTTGCTGTTTATGCCTGTAAGGAGCAAAGAGTTAAACATACAGCTGGTTATAGTCTGTCCAGTAATACAATAAGATCACTATTTCCTGAAACGCTTTATACAACAACAGGAATGTTGACTTATGAGAAGGCAGCCCCTCCCAAACCAGAATGGAAAAGGGGACTAATGCCAGAGTGAATAACATCACATTTCCTTCATGATCTGTTCCTTTCAGCATGGAATAAGGAAATAGTAAACTAATCTCTGAAACTCTGCATATGTGAAAAGCCTTGTGGACTGTTTGCAATATACTTCCAGTTAGTTTTCTGCTTTTTTTCAATTAACCCAGAAGGTCTACACTCCTCCTTCCCATGCCTAGCTGGAGTTGTGGTAGAAGCAAACTTCCAGAAAACTTAGTCTCTTTGGGAATATGAGCCTTGCATCTTCCTTCCTAATGAATGTAAAAGAACAGTAAAAAGATAGCAGTTAGTAGAAACTACTTGTCAACAGCTTGACAGCAGAAGCTAACTGTAACACCATGAAGCCAAAAGGGGAAAGGGTGAGCCCCAGCCTCAACTCTTGTGTTACCCACCCCAGTAAGTGCAGTCATGCGACAGCTGCCATCTGTCTGTTGTGCACGTAGATTTTAGACACCAAGGAGCCTATTTCCTTCCTATGAGATAATTTTGCCCAAGCCTTGCAGCAATAGGCAGGTATCACCAAGAAAGTGCTCACAGGAAGAATTATAAAGACTCTGAATCCTGTGCTGCATTCCCTTTAGCATTAGCATTCAGACCTCAGAACAGGTGTCTATGCAGTGTTGCTGAACTGCCAGTTCAGACAGGGCTCTGGCATTTCTAAACCATTCAGATGCCAGAGATAATACCCAACTTAATACAATAGATTTTCTCCTGTTGGGCAGCATTGAAATAGAACTGTTGGAGTTTGTCAGTGTAAATTTGAAGGTGTCAGTTGTTTGTCAAAATTTTAAAAAATGGCGTTCTTTTATGTTAAGCTAGGAAGGAATGCTTCCTCCTTAAGTGATGAAAACTTAATGTTCAAACCCTCAACTCTTTCCTGTAGTACACTTAGATTCCAGTGCTTGCTTTTGGTTTTGGTAAAGTGGGGGAGTTTGGTTTAGGGGTTCCCATACACAGGGAACCATTCTGAACCTTGAGAGGGCACATTCTATGTTAAAGTAATGAATGAAAACAAGAGGGGGAAGCTTCAACTAATTTGTATGTGATTAGTTATGACATATACACGGCCGTAACATTTTTCATGCAGGAAAAGTAGTAATGGTAATAAATATATGTAATAAAAGTAATAATTATATGCATGTAAAAGGAAGTAGCAAAGTATTTTCTTGGGAGACACTAGACCTTTTCTACTTTAGCCATTCAAGAATCACAAAAACTGTCATTTGTTCTTCTAGTCCTTGGCTAGGCAATCCCTTCTTTCTTGGCAGATGGACAGAAAGTGAAGACAGGTCAACCTCAGAGAGAAAGAATGCATCGTATAGAAGATTTTGGAATTAGTTAGGATCCGAGTTGGGCATAGACAGGCTTGTGCATGTATTCATTTTATGACGAGACCAGCATATTTCTCAACAGGCTAACAATCTAATTTAAAATAAACTTATCAGGTGACCATCAGTAATAGAAGGAAGCCAATATGAGCAAACCTTTATCTGTAAAATAACTTAAACATCAAAGTCTCCTGAGGCAGAGGGAAGTTAGAGATCAGAGAAGAATAGAAGTATTACTATTCATCTGCACATGCACTCATCAAAAAGGACTTTCAATGATATGTAGCACTCTGAAAAGGAAGTGTTAACAAATTCTGACAACAGAAGTGTACAGTTGCTACAGATCTTCAAACTTCAGATTGCAACATGCACATCTGTAGCAGCTCACCAACTCTTAAGTTTAGCAGCTGTGGAATAGCATATATACAAAAACGTTACCTGTAAACCACAGCAGCCCACTGCATTCATTATTGAAGCATTATGAATGACCTTGTATGGAATCCCCAGTTTTACTGCACGTAGTACTAAATCACTGTGCGTCGTGGCCCTGTGTTAAGAAAAGGAAGGAATTAAAGATCAAAAAGATAAAGTGACCAAGTGTAACTAGCATTATAGTTTGTTTTGAAAGTAAAATTAAACCCTTCACAACTAGGGCAATGCAGAGGTGTTAGAGAACGGCTTGCAGAGAGCAAGGCCACAGGTCTCTGCAGAAGCTGATTGCAGCCATCTGAGGTAAACAAAGGAAAAAACCCAGGGTACAGTTATGCTAACAAAAGACTGTTATGTTAACAAAGAGAGAAACTGAGGTACATTATGACCTTAGGGGTGATAGCAAAACAGCCCTGGGAGAAAAACAGGTTCAGAAGAGGGAAGGTGTTTACGCATACCTGAAATGCCACAAGGGGCTGAGATATTATAATGTAGCTTTTTACATGTATCCAATAGATTTGTGAGTAGTATGCATGATTATTGTAGAGTGCTTATATAAGGTGTGATTTCTTTCAATAAAGTTGAAGCTTGCCCTATCATTCAAATTGAATCGGCTGCTTGCTTCCTCCGCCTGCCGCACAGAGGCACCAAAAGGGCAACAAAAACTTGACTGTTATGGGAAAGTAAAAACTCCAATAAGGCTTCCATATGTTATCTTCCCCAGCTGAAAATACAGGCACCCTCAGCATGCTACGGTTCTTTGCAGCCTTCTGGCATCATTAAAGCACCAACACAATTGTTACTTTTTAAAGTAGCCTTGGCAAGTACTTGAAAAGGAAAGTTCCATTTATCCTTTGTCTTCTGCAGGTGTCTGTTGGACATCTGTTGAACTGTAAAGGTCAACGCTATTTGGCATAGACTTCAACGAAACTCCAATATTTCCTTATTTGCTGCACAGCCAGGCCTTCGCCCATCTGCACCAGTGCATGCCAAGAAAGCAACACACTCAAACAAGAACTCTGAACAGACGGAGGTAAACTGCATGCAGTACTTCTGCATGGGAAAAAACATCCTTAGACTAAATCAACCTGTATAACATTTAAGCCAAATTACTCGAATTAACAATGCCTAAATTTGAGTGATCAAGTTATTCTGAAATAATTAACAAAATTCTAGTTAAGCTTAGAACTAAATTTGGCTCCAGGTCTAATGCTCCATAAACACCTTGCAGTGGCTGGTGCAAGAATTACTGGGCTTGTAGTTAACAGAACTGGGATTAGAGTTTTAAAATGATAAGCATATTTATAGATCCAGCAAGTGTTTGAACTGCAACAATGTTTACATATGTATCTTGCTTGCATGTATGCTTACATACATGTTAGGCACTCCATTTTCCATGTGAAATATGAAAACATCCCTAACCCTTGCCTAAATTTATCAAACCCAAACAATGACCTTAGCCATCTCATTCCCAAGATGTAGCACACATTTCTGCGTGGCCATTCCAGAGAAGGAAGCAAAGAAAGAAATCACATATGCCAGTAAGAATAATTAAATTGTAAGACTGCTTTCACCCTGGTGTGGTTCAGTTACCCTAACAGAATTCCCCTGATCTTCAGTGTGATCATTTTGACACTGCATGTCTCACTAGCACCAATTGGCAGATCAGGTGCTTCAGACCAGAAAACCAGTGTGGCAGCAGCTAGCAAGACTTGTAAAGATAAATCATTTAATCAATAATTTAAAAAAGAAATTTCACTGGAGGAAAAAAAAAAACAGGAATCTGAATTTGGGAAATCGGACACCCTGATACAAAGACTCCCAGACCTAGAAGAATGCAGTAAAGAGATCTAAAACAACACTTTGGTTAGTAAACAAACTATGCACCTGACTTCCATAAGCAAAGCCAATTTAATAATGCCTGCTCTAAGAGAAGAGGGGACTAATTCTATGGCCATGTATTATTCCCTTCACATACATAGGACAAGGAGCACTAGAGGATTTTGTGGTTATGCTAATACTGACCAAGGGATCAGCTGGCTTTATTCACTGAAATTTGCTCCAGCCAGTATTTTCTCCCAATAGATCTGTCCATAATGGCTGTAGCTAAAAGCAGAAGTGCCCTCATGAGCACTCAGCTAACACCAGCAAAGGCTTCATTGTCAGCCCTCTGTACCCAGAGCTATACTAGTATTTTCTGGCACTGATACAGATTTTAAGTTTTATGGGATGTAACAATATGAATGTTAGCACCATCTTAGATGAAGGTGGGCTTTCCAGTATACTACTAAAATTGTCAGGTTCCTGCTAGCACATCCATAGCTGTTACCACATAAGCAGATAAAAACTTGCAGTGAACAACAGTGACAATGACAGGGGCACAGCTTGTTTTACCACTCTAACCATTAACCACTAACACCTGAGATTTCCCAGGGCTGCCAAGTACTCTTCTTACCTGCAAATATACTTGAAACTCTACAATCTGCTGCAGTCACATGGTTTATATCCTCCTGCCATATGGCTTCTCTTGGGACAAAAATATTCAGTACTCTTTCCTAGTAACCTCATGAACTCCTAAATCCTTACAGCTCTGTGTGGGCATAGGAGCAGTTCTTGCTGCAATATTAAGAACTAAGAACATAAAAATTTAGAAAGAAGCAACTCATTCAAAAATAGGGTAGTTTTCTACAATGATGTAGTATGTTATTCTGGACTGAAGTATTTTGACGCTGAAACTAATGATAACTGAGGCAGATCAAGACACTGCTTACAAGTAGCATTACATTTCAATACATGTAAATTGGGTTTTTTTTTCATCTTGTGTATTTGTATCAGTCACTGGATCAGAGCACAAGGGTACAGGTAATGTGGCTCTACACTCTACATGATTCCTAATTTTAATATTCACATGCACTGAAAGTATAATTAATATTTCTGAAATACAGCATCATCTGCCCATAAGTACTAGTCTAATATAGTATTCTCTTGCCAATTCCCTTCAACCTGTATTTACATAAATTACCCGCTTTTGACAGATGTGCACACTTCTCCTCTTTTTCATAAACTCTCTCTATTTCTTCACTCACAAATAGGGTGCTCAGTGATTTGATTTTTCTTGTGCCCTGTAACACTGTGGGATAAATCTTGAATCACCAGCTGGAGACTAAAAGCTCTTCTGTATGGCTTGACATTACAGATTGATGATGCCTGATTGAAAAGACAGAAGGAGATCCTTCTGGTGATAGAAAAAGACTATACTTTTCAGCAGGAATAAAAAGTGAAAACAAAAGGCTTAATAAACCAAAATAAGAAGACATTTATAATGACCTGAGTGATGTTAAAAACTAGCACATATCAAAGCAGAAGCACTGTACAACCAATAATCAGTATCCAGTATTCATTCTAAAACAACTGAGCACAAAAGCTGACGTTTATAAGTACAAATAGCAACTAAAAGAATACTCTCTCAAAACACGGCACATTTCTTATTTATGTAATATTCTAGAATTTATTCTGTTAGCAGATAAAACCTGGAACAAAATATTCTCTATAAAAGCTAACATGGAGAATTAAATGATAAGTGACTGCTGAAGGAAAGATTTATATATCCTGGAGGATCCACATTCCTATCTATAAGGGATATCTAGGCAAAGAAACAAGATGAAGTGTATATAACTGCATGCGTATTTTTAATGCGGTAAAAAATACAGAGACATAAAAAGTGCTACTTGTCTGAAAATCAGCTTCTTCCTAAAGAATTACAGTTATGGAGCATGGCTCCTTCCTATTGAAAAAAGAGTGATCAAGCTACAGCAATAATTAAAATGTTGCTTTGTCTTACCCAAAAGGATCACCAACTACAAGAAATGCGACATCACAAATATCAGCTTCTTTTAAAATGCTATCTGCCTCTTGTTCCACCGTTTCTCGGTCAGCCAAAATCAATTCTTTTCCATAAAACTCCTCCTAGAAATTCAAATAAGAAACACCAAAATAGTCTTATTTTACTTAGGAGTGGTTTTGTATCTCTCTCTGTGCTCACTCAGGAGCACAGACACTGGAAAGGCCAACTTTATTATTGTCCCCAGCAGTCAAACCCATGTCTTAGAGAACTTCACCTCCCCTTGCAAGAATACCTGAGCTTCCCATAATGCGCTCCCGAGCTGACAAAAAGTAAAGTATTCTGATACTGCCTTTGCTTTTTATGCCTTCTGTGACAATTGACACAGAAATAGCTCCAAAAATAGCTCAATCGCACCTGCATGCTGAAGGCACCTGGGTGGAATCTAGGTAGTTAATTTAACTGGTCATCCTACTGTAAGGTATCCCCTCACACAAGTCTAACTGTTTAGGTTAGTTGTAATGCTGACATCAAACCAGATACAATACGACACTAGCTGTACCACAACCTAGTGTTTTAGATTTTTTCTTAGTACATTGTAACTAACCACATCTAAGGAATGATTTCATATTAATTCTTCATCTTCAGTTCTCTGTAAGAAATGCTTTACTATGTATACAGGTAAACACGTATTTGATCGTGTCCTTTGCTTTTCTTCAGCAGCTCAGTAATCATTGTGTCTCTTTGTATGTTTTAAATGCCTTTATTTCCAGAATCAACCTCACACGTGTAATAAAACTTCAGTCAGTTCTAGAACATGTTCTCTGACCATCTGAACATATCTGTCTCTAAGTCATGTGTCACCATACATTTCACAGGCCCTTTACACAATCAGATAAAGGTTTCTCCAGGACAAAGACCAAGAAAGGTGGTTTTGTTCGAAACAGTATTCAGAAAATTTGTGTGGTATTACAGATATTAACAAATTGATAAAACTATTAAGTCAGTTGTGGTCCAGAAAGATTTTCCTTCAACTTCTGAGACTCCAGTGACAGCTTCATCTTTGCCTACAAACAATAGTGAATAGACAAGAGAACCATCATACTTGTACAGAAGTGGAATATTGCTTCCATTAAAAAATCCATCCCATAGCCAGAGTACAATATATGGGACCTCTGTTACTGGGTTTGGTTCCCTTTTCTAAAGATTACTTCTTCACCATTTTTGGTAAATTCCTCTATCTCTGCAGAAAGAGAATATTGTTTTCCTTGCGAAACAGACTGCAACCTGTACAGAATCGATAGAAAGGGGACCAGATAAATTTATTGGCAAATCTTATATCTGTGATTTGGAAAGGTTGACAGCCACCCTGGAGTACTGCTGAGGTCTATACTAAACAAGCTACAAAATTTTGACACCCCATTTGTTTTTATTAGGTATCTTACCCTAGATGCACATCAGCAAGTAGTACAGCACAATAGGAGCTGATCTGTAAAGCAAACCACTTGGTGCTAAGAACTCAGTAACAATGCTACATACGTTTTGGTGGGTTTACCATTGGAGCAAACTTTAGTGCAGTACTGTAAGTGAATGCACACTATACAACATATTAGGTGCATTCCCAAAGGCAGACCTTGCAGTTCGTTTTCATCTAAAGGAATCCATTTGCATGCTTTGAGACTGCTCCACATTGCAGATCAAAGCACACTAGTTAGAAAATTTATAAAAAGCACTCTCCCGACAAAATCTAAAATGTAGACTCACTGGGAGGTCACTGTATCCAAACACGGGGCCTTTCACCAAATTGAGGGCTGATTTAGATAGTCAGCATCAAATAGCTTTTAGTATATATTTTAGGCCAACAAGATAAATTAAGCAAGTCATGTCATTTGAATTTTAAGATCTGATTTTAAAAGCATCAGCACAGGAGGATTTCTAGAAAATCCCTGCAGGAAAGAATCTGTTCTGTCTGAGAGCTTTCCCATAACTTTTCATGTTGTTTAGAAGACACTGACCTTCAAAGTACTAAATAATCCATTCAGCACCGGCACGTGTACATAAACTGGGCTGTATTATCAACACTTGGTGATTAATTTCTATATTCCCTCTTAGGCAGTTTCAGGTAAGACAACATCTTTTACTATGTTTTTATTGATTGCTTTTTCCAATTACCTCATCTTTGGGACTTCAGGGTTTCAAAAATAATTATATCAATAAAAACCAAAACAAACCCCCAAAATTTACCACACCAAAACCAGTCAGCATTTCTCTATTATTCATTTTGGTTTCTCTATTATTAAATGTTTTATTGTTTTGACTGAAAAAAAACAGAAAAACATGAAGTATATCTTCATTTCAAAATACAGCAGATATACCAGAGATGGCCCCAAATGATGATGGCCTAGCTTGCATCTGGAAACCACATAATGCTGACTACAAGCCAGGAGTCTCACATGCTGTAACGTACATACAGGTACGCATACAAGTACGCTATTGCTATACAACATCCAAGACCCAGAGAGCATCTCTGTGTAGCACTACAGTTTAGTTGGAAGTGAAATCCCTGTACTGTGGGTAGGTAAGCTCTTTTTTTCAGTATTATTTAAACTTTATCTTCCTATGACCAGGAAACCCATCAGAGTTGTAATTTGTACATTTTTACCACTGTCTTCTCCAATAAGGTGTGTTTACTTAAAAAAATCTTTGTGTTGTTGAACAGCCCATCTATTGGCTGAACTGTGTATGTTCTGGAAGTCTCAAGATGAAGAGACAGCTTGGCCCACAAGGGAACATGAAACTGCGACAGTCAAGTTATTATTCCCAGCAGGCACACCATACTACCTCAGGCTGATTTAGAGGTTCAAGGCTCCAAAACATGTATTTTTCTGGTACATCTTTTAATTTTTTTTTTTGAACAACGCAGGCATTTTTCTAACCATTCTCCAATATTTCAGGGTCTCTATATATTGTTAGAATTTGAGATGAAAACTAGTGTCAATATTCGTAGGAAGGAAAATTATACTTTCATTCCAGTCTTCTCACAAGGTAGTGAAATGATTTATCCCATACTATATAGTATGTGAAGCTCATGTACTACTTTTTCCAAGACCACGCACCATTCGTTTCTCCTGCTGATGCTACTGAGCTCCAGCCCCACACCCTCCTCACTCCTGGGTACGACAGGCATTCGGGCTCTGCCCGACAGCAGCGGCCAGACCTACCAGCGCTTCCTTGCCCACCGTGAGGACGGAAGTGTAGGCCTCCAGGTACACCCTGCGGCACCGCCTCACCGCCTCCAGCCCCTTCACCGTGATGTCCTTGGCATCTCCCAAGCCCAGCCCGACCAGATACAGCATGCCTGGGGAGGCCTTACACCGCCCGGCTCAGTGCCGCCGCCGCCACCACCTATCAGGGGAGGGAAAGGGCGATCAGCCGGGGTGACCCACCACGCCAGCGACCACCGCCACCCCCCAAGACCTCGCCTCGCGTCTCCTCGCTCCTGTCACCCGCCTCTTCACACCTCCGCGCCCCCACTCCCGCCGCTGAGGGCTCGGCCCCGGGCTCCCGGCT